GGGGGGGGGGGGGGATATTTTATCTGTAGTAAAATAAAGTACACAAGGAAGAGGACATAAATCTTTAGTCAGATCCTAACGGTTGGGTGAACAGGCTTACACTTTTTAAATTGATCCTATAATTGCATGGTGCTATACAGTGTCAGATCTAGATATTGCTAGTCCTCTTAGTTCTGAATGCTGGACACCTATCCATTCTAATGAAGCCTATAAGTTCCATTGGTAGCTCCTCTGGACCAGTGAAGATGATCACATCATACATATTCTGTCCAAGTCCAGACAGGTAATCAGCAGGTTTATTCCCTTCTCGCAGGAAAAAATAGAGTGATGCATAATGTTATGTAGATCTTACATAGAAATGTGAAGCGATGAAACAACTGGTGGAGCTTTTGTAGGTTGTGCTAGCCTCTGGCTGTTTATTCAATCAATGGATCGATTACGTCTCAGTTTCAAACTTGTTGACCAAATAAAAGATTAAGTTTTTTTTTATGTAGATAAAAGCCTTTTGATACTTGATGTAATTTAATCCCTCTTTACTCCAGTCCTGTCATATTAGCTTTAGTTGTGAGTGGTTTTATATGTTTTCTCCATATTTGAGCTGAAATGCCATAACTTCTTAGACTTTATTGCTGTTTCTGGAACTAAGTAGAGAACGGGTAGTGTCAAGTGCGCAGAGAAGAGGAGGATACGTTTGATCAAGTGGGCAGATGTGACCAAGTCTAAGAAAATAGAGGATTAGGGATAAAGAACTTAAGGCTACACAACAAGAGTCTTATGTTTAAATTGTGATATAGATTTCAATAATGAGTTTGACTGGGAGAATCAGTGCAAAAAAGTAGTGAGAGCCAAGTATGGTATACTGATGGCTTAAGTTGAGCTTAAACGAAACAGTGAAGATTCATATAGCCGACCCCAACTTGTTTGGGACTGGCATTGTTGTTGACGTAGATGTAGTAGTATTAGACTATTAATAGTTGTAGCCTCACACGGAATGGAATGGAAAATCACTGGTGCATTAAGAAGATCGTATCCGTTCAAGTGCTGGCAATGTGGGAACAGATTAGTAATCTGTGGGAAGACTTTGTAGACATGGTCCAAAATTAAGGTGGGTAATGGGTTGAAAACTAGACTATGTCAGGATCAACGGATGGAGAAATAGATCCCCCCTTAAAGAGCTCTATCAAGATCTACATGAGCTGGTGAACAATAAAGAGTGCACCCTGGCAGTCTGCTTTACTGGATACAACTGGAATCTGCATCCAAGGAGGAACTTTCAGGATCGGGAATTCGTAAATGCTCTCTTCTCAGACCATCAAAATAGATGGAATTTTCTCGGTTAAGTCAAGTTACGACTGATTACTAAACAAAGAGATGGAGAGATATCCCAGATGCCATGGATAGTAACATGAAGATGCAAGTCTCCTGAAAAGTGACTCTGGGGAAAGCTGTTCATGAAGCTTGCTTGACACATGATAATCTTCAAAAGGGGAATCCCATCAACTTTTGTAACAGATTAGTACAAACTTGGTGCTACTGTAACAAAATTGTTTTTTGCTTTTTAAGAATATTATAGGTAGGATGTCAAGCACACTGACCCAACTTGTTTGAGACTGAGATGTTGTTTCTATGTCAAGCAACCTCATGTTCGACTAGAGCTTATGTCAAGCTGAATAGCAGATTCTATTGATGGATTTTGAATTATTAGTGAAATGTGCCCAGAGAAACAGTTTACTTATTTGATGAAATACTCTTTGCTTTAACGACTCAGTTGTTATTACCTGCTGATTCTTTTGCTTTACATATATTGTTGTTGCTATTGTTTCTTTTCCGCATATTTTCATCATGGTTTCTCCGCTAGTGTATTTCCTTTCCATACTTGATTTTGATATGTTTTACTTGAGCCGAGAGAAAACCTTTAACACTTCCTAATAATTTTGAGTCTTTCTTTCAAAAGCCAATGGGCATAGCAGAAAGTTATATGCTGTTGTAATATGTGACTGTTGCAAATTCTGGATCAGGAATAGCCCTTTCTTATTGTAAGAATTAAGATTATATCCTTTGAATCGGATTATTAAGTGCTAATAATCTTCACATTGAAAGTACAATATGAGACTGGCAAGTGACCAAATTAGTTAATTTGGAAATGTCGTTTAAGATTTTGACATACCCATTAAGAAAATCATTTAATCATATAAGGTTGTTTGATTGAATTACCTTCTGTCATTTTTCAAAAAAAAAGAGTAAATAACTATTGAGACTCATAAGAGAATTTTATATCTCATTTATTAAACTAATGATAGTAGAATTTAGACAAATAACTAATTCCTTGTTGATTCTAAAACACTTTTGTAATTTTTTTAGATGAGATTTATATTTTTCGTTTAAAAATGGACCAGATGTAGCCCAATGGCCAGATATTAGCAGTTAAATCCCATCACAGCATAGTTGGAGACTAGAAAATAGCAATTTTTAGAACAAGCAAGAAATCTTCAAAAGGCAAGCATGTATAAATCTTGAAACAGAATGTATTTATGGCCTTACATTGACAGATATTGTGGTAAACAAACAATTAGGAGGTATGTCTTTTGGATGGTGGTGGCCTAATAGAGTCTGGACTGTATTATATCAAAATGTGAAAATGGGAGATGAGAAACTTGCCACATCCAGTGTCACTGCCCTAGAAAAGAACAACTTGTTATGGCATGTCATCGAGTTCTTCCTCACTACCAGGCTGTTGCTGAACAATATTGAATTCTGATCGTCGAGGAGCAGCGTCTACAAATCCTTGAACTGACATTCCAGGCACAGATAATTCTCTATTCAGCATGCTGTGATCTATAAAGATGACCACCACTGTTATATCATCATGAAAGGTCCTCCTCTCATTTATGCCAACCTTCTTAAGTTCATCATACTTGATCTTTACACGTCTTGCCGCCTCATCCAGGGCTGATACAAGTAGTCTTCTAGCTATGCCCTGATATTGGATAAACAAAATAAGTTTAAACATGACAAGACATAAATGTTGTTGATCAAATAAATGTCAGTGGCACAATAACAGATACCTTTTTAGGATAGGTATTCACAATTTCTACAGCCTTTTCATTGGTTAAGAGATCCCACAGCCCATCAGAAGCAAATATAACAAATCTATCAACTGCTTGTAAGTTTCTTGAAGATACTTCTGGATCAGCTCTTACTACTGGCCGCGTAATAGGTACTTTAAGATGGAATCTTGGGAAATTTGTACCAAGAGCAAATTCTTGGTGCTTCAGATATGCATCTCCAAGTGCTCTAGTTATCTAAAAGATAAAAGGAGAATGAGCATCTGGACTGTCATGACTCATGAACATAACAAGTTTGTGTGTATTTAAAAGCAAACCTGTATAATGCCTCTAACACGCCATGCTTCATTGACATAAACCACAATGTTTGGATTGTCTGGGTGCGAAGCATTCAGTTCATTCCTGACCTGCACGATACTGGCATTATGATCATTAGTCAACTGCAGAGCAACAATCCTATCGGGTCTTTCTATATGATCATGACCTAATACTGCTCTAGAGTCCCCCAGGTTAGCAACATATAATGTCCCATTCCAGATAACACCAACCAGACAGCAGCACCCCTTTGACGCTATCAATGGGTCAGCTTCAAATCTCTCCCTCACATAATCAAGGAAGGCTTCTTCAGTTGCAGCGACGGCATTATTAAGGACTTCTTCATCTATTGTTCCCCTTGCTCGAGCAAACCCTGTAAAAAAAACAAGTGTGTGAAGAAGAAACTAAAACCAGTAGGTCTACGGTAACATAATCAAGAAGATCACTATGTTTACAATACACCCTCGACTCAAGAAAAAACTAACAAAGCAGTCCGGGTAAAGGCAAGATACTAAAAAGCCACGACAAAATATGCTGCAAAATCTACAACCAAATAACAATACAATGGAAGTAGAAGAAATAACAAATAGTACTAATAGAAATTCATGTCCTCCATAAGAGAGTAAAATTTACAATGCAAAGGAAACAAGGAAAAGGCACCATTGTTATATTAACAAGGAAATAAAGAAAGTTGATCTCACTTATTAAATGGCGGCTAAGGTGATCACAGGCAAATCTTGAAGCTTGAGGGCCACCATGGCCATCATAAATCCCAACAAAGGTACCTTGACGACCTGGTTCAACGTGGCCATAATCTTCACATACTGGATTACCCTGTACCATAGCACAAGAGAACTTCCCACATGAATGTTTCTCAAGGTCTTTATGCCATAGCAATGGGTAATCTTCACCCCTGCTCGAAGGGAGATATCGACTTAAAGGTTCACAACAAGCTAATACAATCCTTTCCAGCCAACGAAACATCCTTCTTAAACTCAAAATGTACAGATCGAAAATGTAGAAATGTACCCAAAACTCCAATATTTCAACACTAGCAAAAAAACCCAAATTCAATTTCCCTGAATTCCGAACAAACAACACTAAAACTTCAATCTCGATCAAAAAAACACAAGAACGAATCCAACTGACACACACAAACAGAGTAGAAGTTCGTGTATATCAATCAACACTACACCCAGAAACCAGAAATGCCCAGAAACAGAAAACCCCACCTCTGTTCTCACATCAACACCATAAAAGGGTTGAAAGAAAACACTACAGAGATACCAAAACGAAGTAGAAGAACTGCAGCTGACTAAGAAATGATCAATGTAGCTTGAAAAATGAAGTAGGAGAAGAGATCATTCTCTTTGAACTGAATGCAGTTATTGAGAGAGAATTGCAACAGAAAATAAGCGATTCTTGAAGATATATATAGAAGTTTTTTATTGAAGAGATAGGTGGTGAAGTTAGTTAGGGATGATCAGATTCTGTTAAGATCAGTAACTGACAAAGTGATGAGCTGTACATTGTATCGATTCCTCATTTTTACACTGAATGAAAAATATTTGATTCCCTTTCTTCTCTCTGAGTTACTCTAAAGGTTTCTGCCATTGATGTAGCTCAAAATACCATTATGTATATTTTGGACAAGTTCTGTTAACAATGAAACCATAGGTGTTTATTTTGTTAAGTTCAAATGCTTACAGAACATGTAAATTTGGAATTCATGGATTCTCAAAAGACCTGAATCCCAACAACTTTGTAACAGATTAGTATAAACTTAGTTTTTATTAGCTGCTGATTCTTTTGCTTTACTTATCATATTATTTGTTGTTGCTACTGTTTCTTTTTTGCATTATTTTCAGCCTGGTTTCTTTGCTACTGTATTTCCTTCCCATTCTTGATAGACAGCCTATCGGAAATCGCCTGTCTATCCCTACAAGGTAGGGGTAAGGCTGTGTACTCACAATCCTGCTCAAACTACACTTGAGGGATTACACTCACTATGTTGTTATTTATTGACTCACTGAGAGCAAACCGTCTATACAATATGAGTCAGTTGAATTGGGTTATTTGCATTAATTTTGACATGTCATTTAAGATATTGACATATTTATTAAGAAAAATCATTAATAGTATTAATCATAAAAGGTTGTTTGATTGAATTACCTCCTATCATTTTTCAAAAAATTGAGTAAATAACTATTTCGAGACTCTTTACAGAATTTTATATCTCATTTATTGAACCAATAGTAGAATTTAGACAAAGCATTTCCTTCTTGGTTCTATAACACTTCTGTAGAATTTAGAAAAAAGATTTATTTTCACCAAATTTCATTCCATGTTTGCATAGTTTCCGACAAGGGCACAAGAAAATTTATGGTTTTGTAGCCTCTCAACCGCATTATTAGCACCGTCAGAAGAGGATATTGTAAAACATATGAAGAAGCCAAATGGATTCTATAACATTTACGATATACACATAAAAATAATTTGATGTAATTTTCCGACAAAGGGGATAAGATGAAACTCCACCCTTGCACTCCCCTAGCTCTGCGTGTTTGTGTGTGTAAGAGAGAGAGAGAGAGAGAATTTTTAGAACAAGCAAGAAATCTTCAAAAGGAAAGAATGTGTATACATCTTGAAACAGAATGTATTATTTTTTCCCATCAGAATGCCAACTTTTATGGGCTTACATTGACAGATATTGTGGTAAACAAACAATAGGAGGTAGTGTCCTCAGCATGTCTTTGTACATTCAAAGATTTGGATGGTGGTGGCATATGGGTAACCTAATAGTCTTGCTTGTTCATCTGGACTGTATATCAAAATATAAATTGGTAAAACAAGGCAAAAATGGGAGATCAGAAACTTCCCACATCCAGGCTTCCCTAGAAAAGAACAAGTGCGAACCACTTGTTATACTGTCTCTGTGGGTTCGGTCTCTGTGGGTTCAGTCTCTGTGGGTTCGGACTCTGTGAGTTCGGACTCTGTGGGCTCAGTCTCTGTGAGTTCGGACTCTGTAGCAACCTCTTGCTCAATATTGAAATGTGATGGTCGATGAGTGTCTACAAATCCTCGAACTGACATTCCTGGCACAGTTAATTCATCATTCAGCATCTCGTGATCTATAAAGATGACCACGACTGTTATATCATCATGAAGGGCCCTGCTGACACCTTTGTCATAATTCATAAGTTCATCGTACTTCTTTCTTGCACGTGCCGCCACATTCATGGCTGATAGAACAAGTCTTTTAGCTATGCCCTGATATTGGATAAACAAAATAAGTTTAACCATACAAACATGACATTTTGATCAAATAAATGTCAGTGTCAGAATAACAGATACCTGTCTAGGGTAGGTATGCACAATTTGTACAGCCTCTTCATTGCTTAAGAGATCCCACAGCCCAGCAGAAGCAAATATAACAAATCTATCAACTGCTTGTAAGTTTCTTGAAGAGACAGATGGATCAGCTCTTAGTACTGGCCGCCTAAGAGGAATTGCACCAAGAGAAAATTCTGGCTTCTTCAGAAATGCATCTCCAATTGCTCTAGTTACCTAAAAGATGCAGAAACAAACATATAAGGAAACACATATATTAAAAGGCAGATATAGTGCTATTTGGATGTGCTTAACAGATATAATGGCAGATTACTTCCCAAGTTGACAAATCAATTTTTGTTTAGGTCAGTTTCAGAGGTGTCCAAAAGCATATTTGAGGTTAAAGCCACTGAATGTGACAAGAAACTAGAATTAAGAGCCTGATAAATACTACGCAAATTTAGTTTAAGCTCACGAATCTTTTGATAACATTAAGGACTATGATGGAAACTAGATTGCTTTTGATAAAAAAGAATGAGCATCGGTCATGAGACATCAGAATATAAAATTCAAAATGATACCTAACATAACATAAGTTTGTGTTCAATAGTAGTATTTAAAAGCAAACCTTTATAATGCCTTTAACACACCATGAGCTTCCGACACGAGACACAATGTTTGGATTGTCTGGGTGCAGAGCTCTCAGTTCATCCCTGACGTCCTTGATCCTGACATTATGATCATTAGTCAATTGCTCAGCAACAATCCTATTGAATCTTCCTATATGACCTAATACTGCTCTACAGTCCCCCAGGTTAGCAACATATAATGTCCTTTTCCAGATAACACCAACCAGACAGCAGCATCCTGTTGACGCAATTCCTGGATCAACATGAAATTCCCTTTCCACAATAGAAAGGAAGCCGTCTTCAGTTGCAGCGAAGGCATTATTAAGGACTTCTTCATCTATCGTTCCCTTTTCTCGAGCAAGCGCTGTAAAAAAATGTGTGTTTAGCTGCTTAGCCTGAAAATTCTCAGGAGTACCAAAAAGATGATCCTGTTCCTCTATGTTGCTGTTTGTCACTCTGAAGAAGAAACATAAACCAGTACTACAGCAACAAATAAAGGAGAAACAAAGCCTAAGCTGCGAGAAAACTGCAAAACCCTTAGTGACAATTGAAACCTTTTACTATACAATTACTTAATAGAAAAAATCACTAACACTGCTACAACATGCAATAGAGCATAAACAGAATGGAAAAATGCTGCAACTCTGTCACATGTCACATAAACTGAAATCATAAATTGCTGTTATGAGGCAATAAAATTTACAGTACCACAAGGGGTCTGGGGAGAGTAGTGTGTACGCATACCATACCCCTACCTTAGAAGGTTTCCAATAGACCCTCGGCTAAAAAAAAAGCATAACAAAGCAGTCGGGTAAAGGAATACCATAAATGAAGAAGCCACGACAAGATACTAAAAATAGCATGACAAAATATGCTGCAAAAAACGAACAGTATCTACAACTAGATAATAATACAATCGAAGTACAAGAAATAACAAATAGTAATAGAAATCAAAGAACTAGAAACTTCAAGAGTAATACTGCAACAACCATTTTATTTTAACAATAATTAAGTAGAAAAGCAAGGTAATACAGAAACTTGATCTCACTTATTAAATGCCGGCTAAGGTTATCACAGGCAAATCTTGAAGCATCATGGCCACCATGGCCATCATAAACCCCAACAAAGGTACCTTCACGACCTGGTTCAACATGGCCATAATCTTCACATACTTGATTAGCCTGTACCATAGCACAAGAGAACTCCCCACATGAATGTTTCTCAAGGGACCTATGCCATAGAACTGGCAAATCTTCACCTCCCAGAACACCATCTTCACCGCTGCTCAAACCGACATATCGACTTAAAGGTCGGCAACAAACTAATACAATCCTTTTCAGCCAACGAAACATCCTTCTTAAACTCAAAATGTACAGATCGAAAATGTAGAAATGTACCCTAAAACTCCAATATTTCAACACAAGCAGAAAAACCCAAATTCAATTGCCCTGAATTCCGAACAAACAACACTAAAACTTCAATCTCGATAAAAAAAAACCCAAGAAAGAATCAACACTACACCCAAAAACAGAGTAGAAGTTGGTGAATATCAATCAACACTACACCCAGAAACCAGAAATGCCCAGAAACAGAAAACTCCACCTCTGTTCTCACAGCAACACCCTAATAGGTTGAAAGAAAACACAACAGAGATACCAAAACGAAGTAGAAGAACTGCAGCTGACTAAGAAATGATCAATGTAGCTTGAAAAATGAAGTAGGATAAGAGATCTTTCTCTTTAAACTGAATGCAGTTATTGAGAGAGAATTGCAACAGAAAATAAGCGATTCTTGAAGAGATATATAGATGGTATAGTTAGTTAGGGATGATCAGTAACTGACAAAGTGATGAGCTGGACATTGTATCGATTCTTAATTTTTACACTGAATGAAAAATATTTGTTTCCCTTTCTTCTCTTTGAGCTATGCAAGTTAGAAAACTTTCTCATGATTTAAGTTACATACATGACTTTGAAAGATAGATTTTTAGAAAGATTTGAGCTTTGACTCACAGATTTGAGCTTGATCTCACCCGTTATTCAGACAGACAGATAATTTCAAGTATATTATTTTGGGAGTAGTATTGAGCACCGATATGGGGTAAGAGTTCAGATAACTCAAATCGCATAAACTATGTAGCAATCGTAGATAGGATCGTACCGTAAGACGGGCGACTCCTCACCTACCTCAAGAAGCCTTTTTAGTGGATCCATCAGTACAGTTGCGTTCTATACTCCGGCAAGGTATAGAGCGACTCTGGCAACGTGGGTAAGACGTTGTATCATCACGAGGCTCATAGTGATGGTTGTCGGTTAGAGAAACTACCCGGTAAAGTAAAGAGTATTTATACATATATACATATTCCAGTTCAGTTCAGAAATTGATATTACTGCATTATATTTGTGAACTTAAATGATTTTATCTCATATTTATGCTTTATTTCAGTTGAGCTATATTTCAATCTTTCAGTCCAGTTAATGTTTCACTCAGCCTTATTACATACTCATACATTCAATGTACTAATGTCTTTTGACCTGCATTGTCTTATGATGCAGATACAGGTGTTCAGGATCATCAATAGGCGAATCGTTGATATCACCCAACTTCTTACCAGCTTTTGGTGAGGCCTCATTGCTTTCGGAGGACTCTAGTCATTTATTTGCTTTAACAGTTTTATTTAAGGTTGTCGTGGGTATGTCCCGACGCCTATCTCAGACAGTAGAGGCTTCATAGATAGACAATTTTAGAGTCTCTCGGTGTTTATCATCATATATTTTGCTAAACTATTACTGTTTATATTTAGTATTCTCAGACAGTTCAGACAATATTTGACTTAGATGTTTTCTCTTTAGTACTTACAATTAAAAATGCTTGAGTAAGTCTTTCGCTAAGTAGTCAGCCAGGCCAAGGGTTCGCTTGGGGATCAGAAATGGTTCTCGAGTGCCGGCCACGTCAAGAGTGTAGGCTCGGGGCGTGACATGAACACCCACTGGTTTCTTTCCATTGGGTAGATCCACCAAATTCTATGTGTGATTTTTCTCTAAGGCATGTATTTCCTTAAACATTGCATTAGACCATCCAGGATGATTCAAAGCCTCCTTCACTGTTTTGGGTACAAAGATGAAGTCTAGGGAAGCAATCAAAAAGTTAGATGTAGAGGATCAGCGATCATAGGAAACAAAATTAGAAATAGAGCAATAAGGAGGTCAAGATTTTCTCGAGGATCAGGTGGAGGAAAATGATGTAGGACATGTATCATTATTCTCTTGCCTCCTTGAGTAAACTTGAGTAATTGACGACCTGGCCACAAATGGAGCAGGTAATGAAGGCACACTACATGATTGGTGCTCAATAGAAGGAACAAAAAATGGATGAACACTATCATTTGGTGGTACTATCGAACCACTGGTAACCCGATAGACTAACCATTCATCTTTCTCCCCCTGACTTGTAGAAATAGGAGGTGTATAGAAGAATGGTGTAGTCCTGAAAACACCACATCACTGGATACCGAGTATCTTCCAAGTTCAGTAGAATAATATCGATAACCTTTCTGGAGATGAGAATAGCCCAAAAAAACATACTTTACTGCTTTGGGATCCAACTTTGTAACAAATGGTTGAACATCTCGAACATAACATATGCTTCCAAACACCTTAGGTTCAACTAGAAATAGTGACTTGTTTGGAAAAAGAACACTATAGGGCACATTACCAACAAGTACACTAGATGGCATGCAATTGATCAAAAAACAAGTTGTAGAAACCGCATCTGCCCAAAACTGTTTAGGAACTTCATTTGGAACAAAAGTGCCCGAGCTGTCTCAAGTAGATGTCTATTCTTCCTCTTAGCAACTTCGTTTTGAGAAGGTGTGTCAAGACATGAAGACTCATGAAGAACACTTGATATGTTTTACTTGAGCCGAAGGCCTATCGGATATCACCTCTCTTTTCCTACAAGGTAGAGGTAAGGCTGTGTACTCACAATCCTCTCCAAACTCCGCTTGTGAGATTACACTCACTATGTTGTTGTTTATGACTCAGTGAGAGCATACCAACTATACTATATGAGTCAGTTGAATTGGGTTATTCACATTAATTTTGATATGTCGTTTAAGATTTTGACATATCCATTAAGAAAAATCCTTTAATATATTAATCATAAAAGGTTATTTGATTGAAGGGAAAAAGGACAAATATATTCCTGAACTATCGTAAATGTTATGCAGATACCCTCCGTCATACTTTTGGAGCATTGGTGCCCCAGCCATAAAAAACCTAGAGCATATATGCCCTTCTCTCTAACGGAAGACTAAATAGGGATACGTGGCACAATCTTATCCATCGATTCGATATTAAATAAATGTCGGGTCGGTAGATAAAATTATGACACGTGTATGTCCGTTAGTATAGAGGGTATATATGCCCTAGTTTTTGGACGACAGGGGCACAAATGTCCCAAAAGTATGACGAAGAGTATCTGCATACCATTTACGATAGTTCGGAGGTATATTTGTCCTTTTTCCCTTCATTGAATTACCTCCTATCATTTTTCAAAAAATTGAGTAAATAACTATTGAAGACTCTTTAGAGAATTTTATATCTCATTTATTGAACCAATAATAGAATTTAGACAAATATGGCATTCCCTTCTTGGTTCTAATACACTTATGTAGAATTTAGAAAAAAAATTTATTTTCACCAAATTTCGTTCCATGTTTGCATAGTTTCAGACAAGGGCACAAGAAAATTTATGGTTTTGTAGCCTCTCAACCGCATTATTAGCACCGTCAAAAGAGGATATAAAATATAAAAGTAAAACATATGAAGAAGCCAAATGGATTCTATAACATTTACGATATACACATAAAAATAATTTGATGTAATTTTCCGACAAAGGGGTTAAACTCCCCTAGCTCTACGTGTTTGTGTGTGTAAGAGAGAGAGAGAGAGAATGTTTAGAACAAGCAAGAAATCTTGAAAAGGCAAGAATGTATAAATCTTGAAACAGAAAGTATTTATGGCTTTACATTATGGTAAACAAACAATAGGAGGTAGTTTCCTCAGCATGTCTTTGTACATTCAAAGATTTGGATGGTGGTGGCATATGGGTAACCTAATAGTCTTGCTTGTTCATCTGGACTGTATATCAAAATGTAAATTGGTAAAACAAGGCAAAAATGGGAGATCAGAAACTTCCCACATCCAGGCTTCCCTAGAAAAGAACAAGTGCCAACAACTTGTTATACTGTTTCTGTGAGTTCAGTCTCTGTAGCAACCTCTTGCGCAATATTGAAATCTGATGGTCGATGAGTGTCTACAAATCCTCGAACTGACATTCCAGGCACAGTTAATTCGTCATTCAGCATCTCGTGATCTATAAAGATGACCACGACTGTTATATCATCATGAAAGGCCCTCCTGACACCTTTGTCATAATTCATAAGGTCACCGTACTTCAACTTTCTTGCATGTGCCGCCACATTCAGGGCTGATAGAACAAGTCTTCTAGCTATGCCCTGATATTGGATAAACAAAATAAGTTTAACCATACAAACATGACATTTTGATCAAATAAATGTGAGTGTCAGAATAACAGATACCTGTCTAGGGTAGGCATGCACAATTTGTACAGCCTTTTCATTGCTTAAGAAATCCCACAGCCCATCAGAAGCAAATATAACAAATCTATCGCATGGTTGTAAGTTTCTTGAAGAGACAGATGGATCAGCTCTTACTACTGGCCGCCTAAAAGGTTCCATTACACCATGAGCAAATTCTGGCTTCTTCAGAGATGCATCTCCAATTGCTCTAGTTACCTAAAAGATGCAGAAACAAACATAAAAGGAAACACATTTATTAAAAGGAAAATTAAAAGGCCGAGGCAGATATAGTTCTATTCAGTATATTTGGATGTACTTAACAGATATAATGGCATATTACTTCCCAAGGTGACAAATCAATTTTTGTTTAGGTCAGTTTCAGAGGTGTCCAAAAGCATATTTGAGGTTAAAAATGTTTTGTTCTTGGATAAAGCCACCGAATGTGACAAGAAACTAGAATTAAGAGCCTGATAAATACTACGCAAATTTAGTTTAAGTTCACTAATCTTTTGATAACATTAAGGACTATGATGGGAACTAGATTTCTTTTGATTAAAAAGAATGAGTATCTGTCATGAGATATCAGAATATAAAATTCAAAATGATACATAAGTTTGTGTTCAATATTAGTATTTAAGCAAACCTGTATAATGCCTTTAACACGCCATGTTTTTCTGACACGACGCACAATGTTTGGATCGTCTGGGTGCAGAGCTCTCAGTTCATCCCTGACCTCCTTGATCCTGGCATTATGATCATCAGTCAATTGCTCAGCAACAATCCTATTGAATCTTCCTATATGACCTAATACTGCTCTACAGTCCCCCAGGTTAGCAACATATAATGTCCTTTTCCAGATAACACCAACCAGACAGCAGCACCCCGTTGTCGCAATTGTTGGATCAACATGAAATTCCCTTTCCACAATAGAAAGGAAGCCGTCTTCAGTTGCAGCGAAGGCATTATTAAGGACTTCTTCATCTATTGTTCCCTTTTCTTGAGCAAGCGCTGTAAAAAAATGTGTGTTTAGCTGCTTAGCCTTAAAATTCTCAAGAGTACCAAAAAGATGATCCTGTTCCTCTATGTTGCTGTTTGTCACTCTGACGAAGAAACATAAACCAGTACTACAGCAACAAATAAAGGAGAAACAAAGCCTAATCTGCGAGAAAACTGCAAAAGCCTTGGTGACAATTGAAACCTTCTACTATACAGTTACTTATAGACACACTAAGAGAAAAAATCACCAACACTGCTACAACATGCAATAGAGCATAAACAGAATGGAAAAATGCTGCGACTCTGTCACATGTCACATAATTAAGAAGAACACTATGAATATCATTTCTACAAAAACTTGAAATCATAAATTGCTGTTATGAGGCAATAAAATTTACAGCACAACAACATACACAGTGTAATCCCACAAGGGGGGGGGGGGGTCTGGGGAGAGTAGTGTGTACGCATACCATACCCCTACCTTAGAAGGTTTCCGATAGAACCTCAGCTAAAAATAATAAAAAAAAGCATAACAAAGCAGTCCGGGTAAAGGAATACCATAAATGAAGAAGCCACGACCAAGATACTAAAAATAGCATGACAAAATATGCTGCAAAAAACGAACAGTATCTACAACCAGATAATAATACAATTGAAGTACAAGAACTAACAAATAGCAATAGAAATTAAAGAACTAGAAACTTCAAGAGTAATACTACAAGAGTAAAATTTACAATGCAAAGGAAAAAACATCATAAATTCTATTGTCAAAAGACTGCAACAACCATTTTATTTTAACAATAAATAAATAGAAAAGCAAGGAAAAACAGAAACTTGATCTCACTTATTAAATGCCGGCTAAGGTTATCACAGACAAATCTTGAAGCATCATGGCCACCATGGCCATCATAAACCCCAACAAAGGTACCTTCACGACCTGGTTCAACGTGGCCATAATCTTCACATACTTGATTAGCCTGTGCCACAGCAAAGAGAACTCCCCACCATGAATGTTTCTCAAGGTCTCTATACCATAGCAATGGGTAATCTACACCTCCCAGAACACCATCTTCACCGCTGCTCAAACCGACATATCGACCTAAAGGTTGGCAACAAGCTGCTACAGTCCTATCCAGCCAAGAAACCATCTTTCATTTCCTTCTTAAACTCAAAAAACTATAAAATGTATATCTAATAGCTGATAAAAAAAACCCAAGAATGAATCCAACTGACACACACAAACAGAGTAGAAGTTCGTGAATATCAATCAACACTACACCCAGAAACCAGAAATGCCCAGAAACAGAAAATTCAATAACCCCACCTCTGTTCTCACATCAACACCATAAAGGGTTGAAAGAAAACACAGCAGAGATACCAAAACGAAGTAGAAGAACTGCAACTGACTAAGAAATGATCAATGTATCTTGAAAAATGAAGTAGGAGAAGAGATCTTTCTCTTTGAACTAAATGCAGTTATTGAGAGAATTGCAACAGAAAATAAGCGATTCTTGAAGAGATATATAGAAGGTTTTTTTTTGAAGAGATAGGTGGTAAAGTTAGTTAGGGATGATCAGATTCTGTTAAGATCAGTAACTGACAAAGTGATGAGCTCTACATTGTATCGATTCCTCATTTTTACACTGAATGAAAAATATTTGTTTCCCTTTATTCTCTCTGAGTCCCATTCAATGCCTTTGTGAACATATAATCTAGTCACTCTCCTGTCTTCACATAGCCGGTGGAAATTAGCCTTTCCTGAATCTTCTCACGAATAAAATGGCAGTCAACATCAATGTGTTTAGTTCTTTCATGATACACTTTATTCGAGGCAATATAAAGGGCAGCTTGATTATCACACCAGAGTTTTGCTGATATATGATGCTTTAACCCAATTTCAGTTAAAAGATTATGTATCCACACAATTTCACATGTAGACTGTGACATAGCTCTGTATTCAGATTCTGCACTGAATTGAGATACAACACTTTGCTTCTTACTCCTCCATGACACCAAGTTCCCTCCAACAAAGACACAATAGCTTGTAATAGATCTTCTATCAGTTATGGGTCCAGCCCAATCGGCATCTGCAAAACACTCAATACGAGCATGATTGTGATTGCTATATAATATGCCAAGTCCAGGAGCTCCTTTCAAATAACATAGAATCTGTTCCAAAGTTTCCCAGTGTTTGATCGTAGATGCAGAGACATGAACTGACTAACAACAGTTACTGCAAAATCAATATCAGGACGAGTCACAGTAAGGTAGTTTAGCTTTCCAACTAACCTTCTGTCTCCCTCATGATCATCAAAAGGATCATCATCATCTTTCATAAGATGCACATTAGGAACCATTGGAGTACTACAATATTTGGCTGCCAACTTTCCAGTGTCGGCAAGAAGGTCAAGAATATACTTTCTCTGAGACAGAAAAATTCCCTTCTTGCTTCTGTTCACTTCTACTCCCAAAAAGTACTTCAACTGGCCCAAGTCCTTTGTATGAAACCTAGTGTGCAGGAAAGACTTAAGGGAACATGTAAATTTGGCATAGGAAAGAAGGCCAGGCAGGATTTTCATTGTTGATGAATTCATGGATTCTCAAAAGACCTGAATCCCATCAACTTTTGTAACAGATTAGTATAAACTTAGTTGTTATTACCTGTTGATTCTCTTGCTTTAGTTATCATATTATTTGTTGTGGCTACTGTTTCTTTCTCGCATTATTTTGAGCATGATTTCTTTGCTACTGTATTTCCTTCCCATTCTTGATACTTGAGCCGAATGAAGGCCTATCGAAAATCACCGCTCTTTTCATACAAGGTAGGGGTAAGGCTGTGTACTCACAATCCTCTCCAAACTCCGCTTGTGAGATTACACTCACTATGTTGTTGTTTATGACTCAGTGAGAGCAAACCATCTTAACTATATGAGTCAGTTGAATTGGGTTATTTGCATTAATTTTGATATGTCGTTTAAGATTTTGACATATCCATTAAGAAAAATCATTTAATATATTAATCATAAAAGGTTGTTTGATTGAATTACCTCCTATCATTTTTCAAAAAATTGAGTAAATAACTATTCGAGACTCTGAGAATTTTATATCTCATTTATTGAACCAATAGTAGAATTTAGACAAATATGGGATTCCCTTCTTGGTTCTAAAACACTGTCATGAGCTGGGGTTTATTCAGAATGTAGTCATAATAATTGCCACGTGGAGGGTCGAGATTGATCGCGAGTTACTGAGCTTCAAAGGTTGGGATTAGTCAGACTTGCCAACTCAGCCAATTTGATTAAACAGTATATGTAACCGACTAACAGAATAGAGAGGGCATGAATTTGCACGGTATCTTCTTCTCCAAAATTTTGCTCCTTCTATCCAATTTCTTCATTCTCAATCTCTTCTAAATCTCTTCTATCTCTCTTCTATTTCTGCAGATCTATCGAGCCATGGAGCTACTATTCGACTTCCCCATTTTCTGTTACTTCCGTTATTAGCTTAGTTTGTAGTTCAATTCAGTTACCAATATAATCGAAAATCGTCTAAAAAAATACTTTGTTTTTTCAAATCTGTTCGGGATCATTACAAACACTTTTGTAGAATTTAGAAAAAAGATTTATTTTCACCAAATTTCATTCCATGTTTGCATAGTTTCAGACAAGGGCACAAGAAAATTTATGGTTTTGTAGCACCGTCAGAAGAGGATATAAAATATAAAAGTAAAACATACGAAGAAGCCAAATGGATTCCATAACTATTTCGATATACACATAAAACCAATTTGATGTAATTTTCAGACAAAGGGGTTAAGATGAAACTCTCCCCTAGCTCTGCGTGTTTGTGTGTGTAAGAGAGAGAGAGATAGAGACACCTTTTAGAACAAGCATGAAATCTTCAAAAGGCAAGAATGTGGGGTTCATGTGTATACATCTTGAAACAGAATGTATTTTTTTTCCGATCACAATGCCAACTTTTATGGCGTTACATTGAAAGATACTGTGGTAAACAAACAATAGGAGGTAGTTTCCTCAGCATGTCTTTGTACATTCAAAAATTTGCCCATGACCATTTGGATGGTGGTGGCATAGGGGTAGCCTAATAGACTTGCTGTTCATCTGGACTGTATATCAAAATGTAAATTGGTAAAACAAAGCAAAAATGGGAGATCAGAAACTTCCCACATCCAGGCTTCCCTAGAACTTGTTATACTGTCTCAGTGAGTTCAGTCTCAGTGAGTCCAGTCTCTGTGGGTTCGGTCTCTGTGGGTTCGGTCTCTGTGGGTTCAGTCTCTGTGGGTTTGGTCTCTGTGGGTTCGGTCTCTGTGAGCTCGGTCTCTGTGAGTTCGGACTCTGTAGCAACCTCTTGCTCAATATTGAAATCAGATGGTCGATGAGTGTCTACAAATCCTCGAACTGACATTCCAGGCACAGTTAATTCGTCATTCAGCATCTCGTGATCTATAAAGATGACCACGACTGTTATATCATCATGAAAGGCCCTGCTGACACCTTTGTCATAATTCATAAGGTCATCGTACTTCAACTTTCTTGCACGTGCAGCCACATTCAGGGCTGATAGAACAAGTCTTCTAGCTATGCCCTGATATTGGATAAACAAAATAAGTTTAACCATACAAACATGACATTTTTTATCAAATAAATGTGAGTGTCAGAATAACAGATACCTGTCTAGGGTAGGTATGCACAATTTGTACAGCCTCTTCATTGCTTAAGAGATCCCACAGCCCATAAGAAGCAAATATAACAAATCTATCAACTGCTTGTAAGTTTCTTGAACAGACAGATGGATCAGCTCTTACTACTAGCCGCCTAAAAGGTTCCATTGCACGATGAGCAAATTCTGGCTTCTTCAGAGATGCATCTCCAATTGCTCTAGTTACCTAAAAGATGCAGAAACAAACATAAAAGGAAAAACATATATTAAAAGGCCGAGGCAGATATAGTTCTATTCAGTATATTTGGATGTACTTAACAGATATAATGGCAGATAACTTCCCAAGGTGACAAAATGTAACAAATCAATTTTTGTTTAGGTCAGTTTCAGAGGTGTCCAAAAGCATAATTGAGGTTAAAACTGTCTTGTTCTTGGATAAAGCCATCGAATGTGACAAGAAACTAGAATTAAGAGCCTGATAAATACTACACAAATTTAGTTTAAGCTCACTAATCTTTTGATAACATTAAGGACTATGATGGAAACTAGATTGCTTATGATTAAAAAGAATGAGCATCTGTCATGACATATCCGAATATAAATTTAAAATTAGTATTTAAAAGCAAACCTTTATAATGCCTTTAACACGCCATGTTCTTCCGACACGAGACACAATGTTTGGATCGTCTGGGTGCAGAGTCCTCAGTTCATCCCTGACCTCCTTGATCCTGACATTATGATCATTAGTCAATTGCTCAGCAAAAATCCTATTGAATCTTCCTATATGACCTAATACTGCTCTACAGTCCCCCAGGTTAGCAACATATAATGTCCTTTCCCAGATAACACCAACCAGACAGCAGCACCCCGTTGACGCAATTGCTGGATCAAGAATATGAAATTCCCTTTTCACAATAGAAAGGAAGCCATCTTCAGTTGCAGCAAAGGCATTATTAAGGACTTCTTCATCTATTGTTCCCTTTTCTTGAGCAAGCGCTGTAAAAAAATGTGTGTTTAGCTGCTTCGCCTGAAAATTCTCAAGAGTACCAAAAAGATGATCCTGTTCCTCTATGTTGATGTTTGTCACTCTGAAGAAGAAACATAAACCAGTACTACAGCAACAAATAAAGGAGAAAAAAAGCCTAAGCTGCGAGAAAACTGCAAAAACCCTTAGTGAGAATTGAAACCTTCTACATACTATTACTTATAGACACACTAAGAGAAAAAATCACTAACACTGCTACGACATGCAATAGAGCATAAACAGAATGGAAAGATGCTGCAACTCTGTCACATGTCACATAATGAAGAAGATCACTATGAATATCATTTCTACCAAAACTTGAAATCATAAAATTTACAGTACAACAACAACAACATACCCAGTGTAATCCCACAAGGGAGGTCTGGGGAGAGTAGTGTGTACGCATACCATACCCCTACCTTAGAAGGTTTCCGATAAAAAAAGCATAACAAAGCTGTCCGGGTAAAGGAATACCATAAATGAAGAAGCCACGACAAGATACTAAAAATAGCATGACAAGATATGCTGCAAAAAACTAACAGTATCTACAACCAGATAATAATACAATCGAAGTACAAGAACTAACAAATAGCAATAGAAATCAAAGAACTAGAAACTTCAAGAGTATTACTACGAGAGTAAAATTTACAATGCAAAGGAGAAAACACCATAAATTCTATTGTCAAAAGACTGCAACAACCATTTTATTTTAACAATAAATAAATAGAAAAGCAAGGAAAAACAGAAA